CATTTGAATTGTTATAAAAATAAAGATGAAGTGATGAAAATAATAAATTCAAAATCTACATATTCAAATTGAGTGTATAATTATGGATCTAAAAGAATTAAAATATTGTAATATAGGTATTCTTAATATCTAAGCCTAAGATAAAAGTTTAACTAAAAATACTATTTTTTTATGGAAAATTTTGTAAGCTAAGGACCATGTCGATGTGGAGTAATTCGTTATAGATTCCTAAAAGTATTACTCCTTTAAAGGTTCATGTCCATGACAACTTTTATTTTATTTACATTGATATAGTAGTTCCACTTTTTTCTTTGAGACTACTTCACTCATCCATTGCATCTTTACTTGGTCTGTGTGTAGAATTGCTTATTTGCTTGAATGTTTTGAAATTTTATAATCTAGTTTAAAGTATATTTTGAATAGTTATTTGTGGAATGGTACGTCAATTTCATGTTGGATTTTTTATTTTAAAGCAATACACTCTTTTGTATTTAATTAATTTTCACATAAATGATTATTTTTCATTTGTATTCTTATGAATTGTGATTAAAAGAAGTTGATGATTTGTTGATGATTATTTTTCATTTGTATTCTTAAAAAAATAATACCTTACTGCATTTTAAACATAAACACAATTGGTTGAGTTGAAAAAACAAATAAAAAAAATTACCTAAGAAATAGTTGATTCTATGATAAAATGTTAGCTCTACAAACTGAGTTTAAATAGAGTTTAAAATAGTCAAATAACTTTTTCAGGTTTTTCAAACATTGGTAAAAGGTTATATGATAGTTTTAAAATAAGTTTGCAACAATTTTCACTAAGATTTAAAGAATGATCAATAGTACAAAACACTCGCATCATATATAAGAATAGTGAAAATATTGGTTTATAATAATGGGATACTAACTAATATCTTCATGAGATAAAACACCAAATACATAACAAATATTCTCTAAGCTAAAGTGTGCAAAATATTTTCAAGTTATATTGTTGATAGGGAAGCAATGTGAATGTTAAACTCAATCCCTTATGTGTTTGTTTTTTTATTATGACAACACATATATGTTTCCATGACAACAACATACATGTTTCTTTATGTTTAAAGACATATATTGCCTAAACTGTTTGGGTTGCATAATTTCTATAGTCATACATATGTTTACATCTGTTGTATGCATACTCATGTTTTCATATGTTAAAACCACTTGCACAAAGTAGATATTATGAAGTAATCGATTACAGTGGTTATGTAATCAATTAAGTTAATCAGATAGCTAATGCTTAAATTGTGGAAAACTACAAGTTTTAACCGATTACATTATATGTATAATCGATTAAAACTCGTGTCTTTGCTAACACCCGTTTGCTATATGCTATGATGAGTTTTGAGAAGAAAAAGTTTTCAAAATTGTCTAAGTGTAATACTTAACTGATTACATTGTTTACTTGATCGGTTAAGTCTGGTATTCTTTGAAACTGTTTTCTAGAGATGTTCTAACTGTCACAACGATCATATTTTCGAATAATCTGACTTACAGTTTATGTTCAATCGATTACATTAATTGTTTAATTAGTTAAATATGTTTCAATGTAATTTTGGTGTAACTATGTTAAAAGTGTAACCGATTACATTACTTTTGTAATCGATAAAAAAGCGTCAAACATAAGAAAATCTATATAATGACGCATTGCACTCTGCATTAACAATTTTTGATCATTTGAACTTTTATATTTGGTATCAATGAGTCAAAAAAAGAACTACAGGTGCGCTGATTGCTCCAAGAATCAAGATACAAAAGATTTGTAGATTTTTGAAGGATTCTTGAACGATAGCTTTGGACGTTTATTGGCTGATCAACTACTGCATGTTAAGGTGTTTTCTTTCCTGATCAGAACTTTGTTTTGCAATCAAAGATTGTGGTTTCCTTGTGCGTGTTGCCAAGAAGAAGAACTTGGTGTTCTTGTGACTTTGAGAAGGGTCTCAAAGGGGTGCTGCAGAGAAGAGAATTGTTCTACAAGGTGTGTTTTTACTATATTAGATTGATGAGTTATAGAGGAGATTAAATTTGAGAGGTGTTCTTTGTAAAGTCTTGCTGTAAAAACTCAGATCTTTATAGTGGAAGGTCTTTCAATCTAAGGTTGATTAGAAGACTCTAGATGTAGGCATTGAGGTCGAACCAGTATAAAAAGTTGTGTTTGTTTTTTATCCTTAAACTCCTTTACTCCATTATTTTCATTATTGTGTTGTGTTAAAGATCATTCTAAAGATTTCCAAAAAGATAGAAAAGAAAGCATTTTTATTAAAAATCATCTCACCCCCCACCCTCTTGGTGTTGAGAAACAAGGCATAAAATTTCTTACAATTGGTATCAGAGTTGGTTTTTTGAAAATTGTTCGAAAACTAATCGATTAAGTTTTCTGTTAAATCGATTAATTTGATCCTGATGGCCTCTATTTCTCAAACCTTTAGAGAAGGTGCTTCCACAAACAGATCCCCTTTGTTTGCAGAAGAAAATTATCCCTTTTGGAAAATTAGAATGAGAATTTTCTTAGAATCTGTTGATACAGGTATTTGGGATGATGTTATAAATGGACCTTGAGCCTACTAAAATTGTTGATGGTAAAATTGTTTTGAAATTTTTTTCTGAATGGAACCAGGATGAAAATAAAAGAGCATAATATGATATTAAGGCTAGAAATATTATTTCTTTTGCATTTACTATTGACGAGTTTTTAGGGTATCAACGTGTAAAAGTGCAAAATAATTGTGGGACGTTCTTGAGGTGACTCATGAAGGAACTAATGAGGTTAAGAGGGCCAGGAAGAATTCTCTCATTCAGGAGTATGAAATGTTTCGGATGAAGCCTGAAGAGAATATCTATGATGTCCGGAAATTGTAAATCATTTCATTGCATTAGGTAAGTCATTTGTGAAGGAAGAAATCAACATAAAGATCCTGAAGAGTTTGAGTAGGAGTTGGCAACCTAAGGTGATTGTCATAGTTGAATCAAGGGATCTGACTACCATAAATATGGCTACACTGTTTGGCAAACTCAAGGAGCATGAGTTGGAGCTTGGAAGATTGAGAGAGAAGAGGAAACTGAACATAAACATTCCATAGCTCTCAAGATATCCACAAGAAAGCCTCAAGAAGCAATGATTCAGATGTTGATTTTGATGCAGAAGTGCCAGAAAAGGAAGTGTTTAACATGATGGTAAAGAAATTTACTGAGTTTATGAAATCTCAGTGGGTTGCTGAATACTAAGAGTGGTGCGTATACTCAACTGATGTAGGGTAATTGGAGGTTATTCGTTGATCAAGTATATCAGGAATGGTGAATAATATTATGCAACTAGAAGTGGGGGAAACTAAACTAGACGAAGTTTCTCAAAGGGATTGAGAGCTTCTTGGGATACTAGGAGTGTTGTATAATGCTACGCAATCAGGAGTGAGTTAAACTCAATTATACTTCATTGAATATCTAATGGAACCTCTAAGTTAACTTAGAGGAGAACTGGACATAACCTTAACAGGTGAACTAGTATACAACATTTTTGTGTGTTTTAATCTGTTGATAAACGATGTAATCTGTTAACTTCTCCTATGCTATTTCTCTGATATTATGATTTGCGCTACTTATGCTTACTGCCCACGTTCAAACTTGGATACACAAAGTTGGTCAAGTAAAAGTGTTTTTTAACCAAACTTACCAACTCATAAGTGTTATGTACATCATGATCAGAGTGCAAATTGCAGAAAGTTATGGAAACACTATTGAGTCTCTCCTTCTAGTATTTTCCAACACATTCAATGTTATCTTTTTGTTACTTGGCTATTTTTCATTAGAAAATCAACGATTTTTTTATCAAGACTTTTGAAGGCATGACTGGTTAAATGATGTGTTATTTCTAGTTTCTCAAAATAAGATTTTTCTTGTTAAATAACAATTGTTTAAAAATCATACACAATAGATAACATATATTATAAGAGAGACGTAAAGACAATTTTATCATAATTAAAAACATATATATATATATATTATAGAGTATAATGTATCTTTACATAAATAAATAAAGCATGTTAAAGCAATATGTTATAATGTAAAGACACCTATATTAAAAAAGGAATGAAGCTCCTAATGAGTTTGATACAAGTCCACATGGATCTAAAGAATAAAATAGTAAATTATTTTGCTATATATGTTATTATATTATATAATTCCAAACTATGCACTTCTCTTTATTTGTTATAAATAATAAAAGAAAGGAAATTATTCCTTTTTTTGAGAAGGTGGTAGTAGAGGTTAAATGTGTAAATCGTGTTTGAATGTGAGATGATGATGGTTGACTAATGGGAATAGCTAAGACTAAAAGTTAAATGTAAATCGTGTTTATTGTTATAGTCCTATAAGTTGAAATATATTTTAGTGCATTTGGTCAACTAAAACATTTATCATTTTATCCATTTTCTCTTATTAGTAAATATCATAATCATTAAACATGGCTTAAACCATGTCAATATCGACAAGTTGGGAATTAAGTACAATGATAATTATCAATATGGGAGAAAGGGTTTGGTCCCTAATAGATTTAGACGAAGCACCAACAAATGATATATCAAGAAAACATAAAAGAGATGCAATCTTTTGTGTTTGTTTGAACCTTAGCATCTTCAAAAACTTTAGCTTGGTGACCTTCTATTTAAGTTTTAAGTTATGGTTATATATTTTATAATAAATAAGCATAGTTAATTTTATTTTTTAAGTTTATATATGTCAGAACCAGTAAAATCAGAAGTCAGAAACCAGTAAAATCCATGCACGTATTGTTTAGTGGAATTCACGTGTCAAGAGGGGAGCTTGACACTNTTGTGATTATGGGATTGTTTCTAAATAAATAAAACTAGTATTACTAGCGAGATATGGTTGTGATAAAGAATAAAATTACATCAAGGATAAAATAAAAAGTTCTTAAAATACACAATGAGCAACACAGTTTTGACAAATAATATAATTATCTCTCTTAAAATGTCTTACAAATTGCATTATCTTTCTATTACTATGAAAACAACACATGGTTGAGGAGGAGTAATTAGAGAACCTGACGAGAAAGTTGTTGATGATACAAAGCACCTGCAGACTCTTTGGTAACTGGGGATATAATACCAACACTCAATAACCAATCTTGCATCTCTTCCTTTGAACCCATCTCTTCATCGTTAGTTGCATTGGCTTGAGAATTTGAGCCGGACAAAAGTTTTAGCCTCATTTTCTCAGCTAGCATCACCATCTCTTTAGCCTTACTCTGCAAATCCAACATCAACCCAAAATTTGAACACCTTTATCTTAATACAAACTACACAAAACCAGATCAAGAATTCCAGTCTAAGTACTTTCTGATGAAACTATAATTGTAACAATCAAGTACTAGAAACTGAATTGATGACTGTTTGTACAAGCACATGGGTAAAGTTCAGCGCACAATTTCACATACAAAACTAAGAGAAGAAATAATACATTTATTGGATCATCAATCATTTTCCGTAGTGGTCCCTCCTCAATCTAATTGAGTGATGTTTCCCATTTTAACCAAGTCTAAAAGGAGAAGGAAACACATTTTCAGCAAATTATGATGAACTAGCAAATTCCAGACCAAATCCTATTAACCCATAATTACAGGTTACAGATCCCACAAATTAACTACATTTTCTGGAAAGCACAATTCAACCTATTTGTGCTAACCTCTTTCAACCGAAAAGCTCAAAGCAGATAATCTATTCGAAACAGTTTTAGTGATGCACACCTAACATAAAAGTTATGTCTTGGAATAATTTTTTATCTCCACACTCATAAATCCTAACTCGCATCGTGAGTTAAAAGTCATCACTAACACTTCACAATTCCCAAATACCATTGCTAAAAATACACAAGCAATTACCTATCCAATTTCTGATAATATTTTCACATAATCAGAGTAGACACAAATAAACAAATTGACATCGCATATGATTATCACCAGATAAGTTATAAAGCCGTTCACAACACTTTAAGAAGAAGGAATTCCTAAGATACCATTGCTAAAACTCAAAACAACCCTTGTTTTTTCCAACAAGAAAAAAATTATCTACCAAATAATACTTTCAGACAATAAGAGTACGCACAAAACAAACCAGATACATTATCTGAACATGAAATAATTGACATCATACATAATTATCTCTATCTCCTCCTATAAACATTCAAAAATGTAACTGACTCCTTTAAAGTGAACAAGTCGTTGTATAGGGTAAAGTAAGTAATATCAACCATTGACTCTCTAAAGTAACAACTTGCTATAAAGGGTAAAGTAAGTAAACCAACTGTTGATTAGAAAATCAATAGTCAATGATACCGAGACATGTATAACAAATCATATATCTCAGTCGTTAGTGAAAAAAAAAATCAACACTTAATGTTATGTATACATGCATAACAAATCAAAAAGGTGTTTGAATATTAATCATTTGGTTTCACATCACCAACCACTAATGTTAAACCTTGGTGATCAGTTGATCATGGGCTCGAAAGCCTCTTTGCATATGCAAGGAGAGGCTGTATACAATGACTCTTCCCATACCTTGTCATAGCCATGAGCCTTCTGGCACAAGGATGTAACCCGGTATTTTCTCGTCAACAAATTCACCCTCACACGATGAGCCAAATCTCTCAAAAAAATACTCTCTAAAATCAAAGGGGGAAACATGCTGCACTCAAATTGTACCAAATAAAAAGAGAAGACGATTTTGCAAACACATTACATACCATGAGAGCATTCAAATCCTGAAAAGCCTCCTGCAAGCTTCTATCAGTACTCTCCCACATTTCCTGCTCCTTTCTCAGTATTCCGGACACTCCTACCATCCTCACCGTCCCGTCACTCGAATAAATTCCTCCTGATGACGATGTCGTAGCCGTTTCCGCCGTCGCCGTCGCCGCCGCCGCATTACTAGACCCACTACCTGCCTCCTCCCACGCTCTGGCGCGCCAATTTTCCCAAAACTTGGCCAGAAACGCGTCGCAGTCCCCCTTCCCCCTCACCACCACAGTCACCACCACCGATCGCGATCCCACCGCCTCGACACGCCCCTCCGGCGAAAGTGACACTTGGAACCGGACCCGCGGCGAGGAGAACACTGAACGGAGGGACTTCTTGACGGAGAAAATGTGGGAGATGGCGGCGAGGGGGACTGCGCCGGCTGCTCCACCGCCTGAGGCTGCGGAATCCGGGAGCCAGAGGAGGCGGTAGGTGGTGAGGATTAGAAGGCCGGATTTGAGGTGGGGGAAGGAAGTGCTGGGGTCGTCTTCGCAGAGAAGATCAACACCGGAGAGGAAGAAGCACTCGATTTCGTTCGGTTCGAGCACCGGCCGGCCACTTCCGGTGATATTGACCGGCGGCAAGCAGTTTCCGGCCATCGGCGAGTGGCGAGGCTCGACGTGGCTGTGAAAGTGGCAGCTTTAGTTCCAGTGGAGAATAGATTACACTTGGAATCACAGACTACAAATTGTGAAGTTTTTTTCTAAGTTATTCTTCTCGCATACAAACTTCTTCAACTTCTTACAATATTTGCAAAAAGAAAAACCAACGAAAAGCAAACGGTCAAAATTAAAACGAAAATCAAACAAAAAGAACTACATCATTTAATTTAAAAAACATTATTATAATTATAATAGTTATTATTATTAGATTTCTCTTATTGTTTAATTTTATTATTAATTATTAGGTTAAATGTTAATTCTTGAATATTGAAAAAAAAAGACTATGAAAAATATATTATGTCTTCCATAATCTTAAGAAACAAATAAATTCTGCCATTAAGTTTTTATTTAACATTATTAAAAATATTTATTTTTATGTTATTGGTGTGCATTATAAAAAACTTATTTCGTTATTTTTATATATTATTTTTTTTATGATGAAATATTTAATTTTGTTGATGATTAATTTTCATAAAAAATATAGTTATTTACTCTTTTTCAATCAATATTACTAATTAGAACGTTGACCATTTGAATTGTTATAAAAATAAAGATGAAGTGATGAAAATAATAAATTCAAAATCTACATATTCAAATTGAGTGTATAATTATGGATCTAAAAGAATTAAAATATTGTAATATAGGTATTCTTAATATCTAAGCCTAAGATAAAAGTTTAACTAAAAATACTATTTTTTTATGGAAAATTTTGTAAGCTAAGGACCATGTCGATGTGGAGTAATTCGTTATAGATTCCTAAAAGTATTACTCCTTTAAAGGTTCATGTCCATGACAACTTTTATTTTATTTACATTGATATAGTAGTTCCACTTTTTTCTTTGAGACTACTTCACTCATCCATTGCATCTTTACTTGGTCTGTGTGTAGAATTGCTTATTTGCTTGAATGTTTTGAAATTTTATAATCTAGTTTAAAGTATATTTTGAATAGTTATTTGTGGAATGGTACGTCAATTTCATGTTGGATTTTTTATTTTAAAGCAATACACTCTTTTGTATTTAATTAATTTTCACATAAATGATTATTTTTCATTTGTATTCTTATGAATTGTGATTAAAAGAAGTTGATGATTTGTTGATGATTATTTTTCATTTGTATTCTTAAAAAAATAATACCTTACTGCATTTTAAACATAAACACAATTGGTTGAGTTGAAAAAACAAATAAAAAAAATTACCTAAGAAATAGTTGATTCTATGATAAAATGTTAGCTCTACAAACTGAGTTTAAATAGAGTTTAAAATAGTCAAATAACTTTTTCAGGTTTTTCAAACATTGGTAAAAGGTTATATGATAGTTTTAAAATAAGTTTGCAACAATTTTCACTAAGATTTAAAGAATGATCAATAGTACAAAACACTCGCATCATATATAAGAATAGTGAAAATATTGGTTTATAATAATGGGATACTAACTAATATCTTCATGAGATAAAACACCAAATACATAACAAATATTCTCTAAGCTAAAGTGTGCAAAATATTTTCAAGTTATATTGTTGATAGGGAAGCAATGTGAATGTTAAACTCAATCCCTTATGTGTTTGTTTTTTTATTATGACAACACATATATGTTTCCATGACAACAACATACATGTTTCTTTATGTTTAAAGACATATATTGCCTAAACTGTTTGGGTTGCATAATTTCTATAGTCATACATATGTTTACATCTGTTGTATGCATACTCATGTTTTCATATGTTAAAACCACTTGCACAAAGTAGATATTATGAAGTAATCGATTACAGTGGTTATGTAATCAATTAAGTTAATCAGATAGCTAATGCTTAAATTGTGGAAAACTACAAGTTTTAACCGATTACATTATATGTATAATCGATTAAAACTCGTGTCTTTGCTAACACCCGTTTGCTATATGCTATGATGAGTTTTGAGAAGAAAAAGTTTTCAAAATTGTCTAAGTGTAATACTTAACTGATTACATTGTTTACTTGATCGGTTAAGTCTGGTATTCTTTGAAACTGTTTTCTAGAGATGTTCTAACTGTCACAACGATCATATTTTCGAATAATCTGACTTACAGTTTATGTTCAATCGATTACATTAATTGTTTAATTAGTTAAATATGTTTCAATGTAATTTTGGTGTAACTATGTTAAAAGTGTAACCGATTACATTACTTTTGTAATCGATAAAAAAGCGTCAAACATAAGAAAATCTATATAATGACGCATTGCACTCTGCATTAACAATTTTTGATCATTTGAACTTTTATATTTGGTATCAATGAGTCAAAAAAAGAACTACAGGTGCGCTGATTGCTCCAAGAATCAAGATACAAAAGATTTGTAGATTTTTGAAGGATTCTTGAACGATAGCTTTGGACGTTTATTGGCTGATCAACTACTGCATGTTAAGGTGTTTTCTTTCCTGATCAGAACTTTGTTTTGCAATCAAAGATTGTGGTTTCCTTGTGCGTGTTGCCAAGAAGAAGAACTTGGTGTTCTTGTGACTTTGAGAAGGGTCTCAAAGGGGTGCTGCAGAGAAGAGAATTGTTCTACAAGGTGTGTTTTTACTATATTAGATTGATGAGTTATAGAGGAGATTAAATTTGAGAGGTGTTCTTTGTAAAGTCTTGCTGTAAAAACTCAGATCTTTATAGTGGAAGGTCTTTCAATCTAAGGTTGATTAGAAGACTCTAGATGTAGGCATTGAGGTCGAACCAGTATAAAAAGTTGTGTTTGTTTTTTATCCTTAAACTCCTTTACTCCATTATTTTCATTATTGTGTTGTGTTAAAGATCATTCTAAAGATTTCCAAAAAGATAGAAAAGAAAGCATTTTTATTAAAAATCATCTCACCCCCCACCCTCTTGGTGTTGAGAAACAAGGCATAAAATTTCTTACAATTGGTATCAGAGTTGGTTTTTTGAAAATTGTTCGAAAACTAATCGATTAAGTTTTCTGTTAAATCGATTAATTTGATCCTGATGGCCTCTATTTCTCAAACCTTTAGAGAAGGTGCTTCCACAAACAGATCCCCTTTGTTTGCAGAAGAAAACTATCCCTTTTGGAAAATTAGAATGAGAATTTTCTTAGAATCTGTTGATACAGGTATTTGGGATGATGTTATAAATGGACCTTGAGCCTACTAAAATTGTTGATGGTAAAATTGTTTTGAAATTTTTTTCTGAATGGAACCAGGATGAAAATAAAAGAGCATAATATGATATTAAGGCTAGAAATATTATTTCTTTTGCATTTACTATTGACGAGTTTTTAGGGTATCAACGTGTAAAAGTGCAAAATAATTGTGGGACGTTCTTGAGGTGACTCATGAAGGAACTAATGAGGTTAAGAGGGCCAGGAAGAATTCTCTCATTCAGGAGTATGAAATGTTTCGGATGAAGCCTGAAGAGAATATCTATGATGTCCGGAAATTGTAAATCATTTCATTGCATTAGGTAAGTCATTTGTGAAGGAAGAAATCAACATAAAGATCCTGAAGAGTTTGAGTAGGAGTTGGCAACCTAAGGTGATTGTCATAGTTGAATCAAGGGATCTGACTACCATAAATATGGCTACACTGTTTGGCAAACTCAAGGAGCATGAGTTGGAGCTTGGAAGATTGAGAGAGAAGAGGAAACTGAACATAAACATTCCATAGCTCTCAAGATATCCACAAGAAAGCCTCAAGAAGCAATGATTCAGATGTTGATTTTGATGCAGAAGTGCCAGAAAAGGAAGTGTTTAACATGATGGTAAAGAAATTTACTGAGTTTATGAAATCTCAGTGGGTTGCTGAATACTAAGAGTGGTGCGTATACTCAACTGATGTAGGGTAATTGGAGGTTATTCGTTGATCAAGTATATCAGGAATGGTGAATAATATTATGCAACTAGAAGTGGGGGAAACTAAACTAGACGAAGTTTCTCAAAGGGATTGAGAGCTTCTTGGGATACTAGGAGTGTTGTATAATGCTACGCAATCAGGAGTGAGTTAAACTCAATTATACTTCATTGAATATCTAATGGAACCTCTAAGTTAACTTAGAGGAGAACTGGACATAACCTTAACAGGTGAACTAGTATACAACATTTTTGTGTGTTTTAATCTGTTGATAAACGATGTAATCTGTTAACTTCTCCTATGCTATTTCTCTGATATTATGATTTGCGCTACTTATGCTTACTGCCCACGTTCAAACTTGGATACACAAAGTTGGTCAAGTAAAAGTGTTTTTTAACCAAACTTACCAACTCATAAGTGTTATGTACATCATGATCAGAGTGCAAATTGCAGAAAGTTATGGAAACACTATTGAGTCTCTCCTTCTAGTATTTTCCAACACATTCAATGTTATCTTTTTGTTACTTGGCTATTTTTCATTAGAAAATCAACGATTTTTTTATCAAGACTTTTGAAGGCATGACTGGTTAAATGATGTGTTATTTCTAGTTTCTCAAAATAAGATTTTTCTTGTTAAATAACAATTGTTTAAAAATCATACACAATAGATAACATATATTATAAGAGAGACGTAAAGACAATTTTATCATAATTAAAAACATATATATATATATATTATAGAGTATAATGTATCTTTACATAAATAAATAAAGCATGTTAAAGCAATATGTTATAATGTAAAGACACCTATATTAAAAAAGGAATGAAGCTCCTAATGAGTTTGATACAAGTCCACATGGATCTAAAGAATAAAATAGTAAATTATTTTGCTATATATGTTATTATATTATATAATTCCAAACTATGCACTTCTCTTTATTTGTTATAAATAATAAAAGAAAGGAAATTATTCCTTTTTTTGAGAAGGTGGTAGTAGAGGTTAAATGTGTAAATCGTGTTTGAATGTGAGATGATGATGGTTGACTAATGGGAATAGCTAAGACTAAAAGTTAAATGTAAATCGTGTTTATTGTTATAGTCCTATAAGTTGAAATATATTTTAGTGCATTTGGTCAACTAAAACATTTATCATTTTATCCATTTTCTCTTATTAGTAAATATCATAATCATTAAACATGGCTTAAACCATGTCAATATCGACAAGTTGGGAATTAAGTACAATGATAATTATC